CCCTGCAATAAGAAAAAAAAAAATACAATGCTTATTTTACAGTATGCCTGTTGCTACACAGGCCAAGGTTGAAAGTCTATGATAAAGAGCTGGTAATAGAACGCTTAAGGGAGCTTCATCAATTGCATGGGAAAAGAGGGCACCAGGTTTCTAAGACATCTTCTCTGAGTGAAATACTTAGTGCAAAGTGCCTGAACAGAATGGAATTTGCATGACTCCACATTATCTCCATGACAAAAAAATTCTCTTCCCTCAGGCACTTCAACTCTAGCACAGGGAATTTTGAGTGCTGAGAGCGATTAAGAAGAGGACTGAAGAAGGTGCTATTATATCAATTATCTAGCCAAAGACACAACTGCAGAGTAACTGCACCGTGCCTGCATGGATAGCACAGCTAAGGACGGACAGAATATCCTAGCTTAGCAGAAATGGGATTTTTTTCTTTTTCATTCCTCTTCTACCCTAGATCTCCGTTGGTTCTCCCATTCACAGTGTATTTCTTCAGGTGGTATGGAAGTTATTTGCAGAGCCAGTTTTCAGCACAGCTGATTTTAACTATAAAGCTCATGGCCTAGCAAGAAAGTCCTGAAAAACTTCAGTACCTCAGTTTTCATAACCGCAGCCCAACACATTAGGGGAACCTCACCTTGGTGCTGGCATTACAGCTACAGCAACGGGATGAAGCCACACGATAATTCAGGCTGGTCAGGACCTGAGGGACCATCCAGTTCAACTCCCACCTGGTCTTTGGCAGTCTAAGGGGCCTACATGCCATACAGGGATGCAACAAGGTGCTCACGACCTGCATGAAAGAGGCCTTGGCCCCTTGCTGGAACTTGTAATGGCACAGATGTGTTTGGGCCATGGAGGGGCTGCTCTCCATGGCAGAGGCGCCCGGCACTGCCCGCACAGGGCCGGCCTCCCCCAGCTCCTGTTCCTCCTTCTCCCCCAGACCCCGCCACTGGGCCACCCCACACGGCCTGCGCAGTGCCGCCGGCAAAGGCCAGGCCTTTCCCTTGGAA